CATATTATGGTATTACTAGTACTTTCAATTTGTATTTTCTTCGCAAATACAGTTTACCAATAGTGAACTGGTAAACATTCTATATAATATGTTTAAAGATGCAATAAAAGTTTTTAGTTATTGCCAAATAGGCTACTTTTCTACTAAAAAATAAACTCTTAAATTAGAGTTTAAAGTTTTAAATGCCAAATTAAAACAACTAAAGTCTACTGTTCCCCAAAACCCATCCACTACATGTCTGGGATCTGGGTTTGGCCATTAAATGTATATTCTATCAGGAGGAACTGGGTCACCCAGTCCCGTTCCTTTCTTTCTGCTGTTCCTCTTGACATTTACCCCATGTTTTCTTTTCCTCAATAGGCTTTCTCTATCTTTTCTCAAAATTGAATACTTTTCTCATCTTAGCCAAACACCTACTTTCATTCTCTCTTTTGATGGCTGATAAGGCACCTACATTCAATTCTCCACCACCAAATTAAAAAGTGTGATTTTTCCATCCACTTACGTTTCCCTCCGCTTTGAGAGCTATACTCATGTTTCTTCCTCATTAATAGCACAATCCAAAAGAATATGTTTCCCTAGCACAGCGTATCCACAGTCTCATCAGGAGATCTGCTATGGCCTGGCTACAGGTCTATGGAGAAACACATCATGTGACATTCAGGACAGCTAAATCAACACTTCAGAAATGGAAGAAACACATCGTCAAGACATACAAGATATAATCTATACTTTTTCATACACCATATGACAATCCAAAGCCAGTGTAACTATATACAGTGGTTCTCATTATTATCACCAATGGTTTGCACAGCCCATAAAAAAGGAGGATATATTATAAATCCTAAGACCAGAGCAAGAAGATGAAATAGCACATTATACCACATTCTGAAGTTAGACATAAAATAATCTGGGTCCTGATATTTAAGTGAAAGTCAGCAAGATGCTAGTTATGGGTAATAATATAATTTCTGATTTAGCATTACAGTTGAAGGTACAGGGATCTTCCTGGGCTATTACACATATCCAGGAAGAGGCAGGGGATTCTTAAAATATGGCATAGCATCAATTTAGCTACATTCAAGTGAGAACACACATTGTATAATAGTTCACTATTTTTATAACCAGACTGAACACTCTGATAACAGAGTGATGACTACATATTTGCTACACATATTAATCATTATTATTACTATATTTTGATAATACATTCTCAACTAGCATTATAGAAAGTAAAGCAGTTTGTTATACTTGCTTTTACTTCATATAGATTGCTTATAAATTATGATGTGATATTATCTAGGGTTATGTTAATTTTAATATATTAATATTTATAATTAAAGATCAGCACAATATTGTCAAATCACAAAAGTTAAATCATAGTTATTTTGAAGCATTATATAGGATTTATTCAGGTTTCATTTCTTGCTGATAAGGTCTGATTAGAGATTTTAAAGTGGTAAAATACACATTTAAATGCACAACTTTAAAATATGTATTTTGTACACATAAAATGAGCTTGAACAAAACAGAAGAGCATTTCACAATAGCATTAACCCATAACAACCTAGTTATGAACAACCTTGCCTGATAGGATTTGGGGTTAGTTTCAGCTTTTGTTTCCCATTTAAAAGCACCTTTGAATATCATTTTATGCCTGCCAATTATTTTCTTGGAAGGAGGGTGTTACGTGTATCAGAAATAGCACTTCTAATTTTTCTTTATAGAACTATCTTTTAATGTTAAATGGTGCTATCATTAGCATATAATTACAACATATGTAATTATACATAAATGATATGCTATTAATATATACATAGTTTTGATACCTTTCATGTATATGAATGTGAGGTTTGTACAATGTATTAACAAAGCCAGTTAAATTTAAAGTAGACTTATTACCATTATTACCTTTTTAACTTACTTTTTGTTTTTCATTTTTGGATCAAATTTTGTACAAGGGAGGCGAAATAGAAGTCAACAATAGACAACTGCAAAAAGGCAACAAGATAATTGTTACGCCTTGCCTGGTGAACTCTTAAATCAACAAAGGAGGCTGCCCCTCTGGCTAATGAGCGGGTGTGGGTTCTGCGCCCCACAGCAGAACATAAAAGAGCATCTATACTGCTGCAGGAATTCTCTGTTTTATAATTCAAATATTTGCAACACAAAGTGAATCAAATAAACCTGAAAATTTGACAACTAATACTTTGGGGGTGATTTTTGGAATTAAGCTGGTCAGGAAAAGGTTCTGCACCCGGTGGCTGTGCTGTTAGCATTTCTAGATGCTGCCACCAAGGCAAATGCAGAGGAAAAGTTGTCCTTGCAATTTTCTGGAATGTAGTCACTCGAGAAAGTTGAGCCTCTGGCAGATGGCAGAAAAGGTGATTAAACAAAGAGTTTGAAGCAATTAATATGGTATCTGATTCATTCATTTCCGCAAGTATACTCACTTTGGGGAAGCCCAGAAGATTGGGGCATGGGCATAGAAGTGGACAATCTAAGACTGAAAGTTGAACCTTCTGAAAAGGTTTCATCTGTAAGCCGGCTGCGGGAGGTTGCTCTTCCTTTCCCCACTTTTTGGCGTCCAGGAGGCTGGAGGGTCTTGCAGCCGACTTCCCCCAGGTGAGGCAGGGACAACCCCACCCCTGGTTTAGTGATCGTCCAGATTCCCGATCGCAGGGGAATCAATCCAGAATTCATCTTTGTTGTTACGTCCCTAACTGGGCCCACCAACGTGTGACCGAGGCCATCCAGGGCCCTGGTCCCTAACGTGGGTGGCAAATAAGTTCACATTAAGGAATACCTAAATGTGGCCTCTCCAGGGGCTGCGCTCGCCATCCTGGGGCTGAGAGAGGTCTGCGGGATGGTTATTTCCTCCTTTCCTCTAGCAAGAGTTAGGGCAAGGGATGTAGATTGGGTTCAGATTTTTCCACTTCTGTCAATAGGAAGATGGAATTTTTTTTTTTAATGTCCTTGCGCTCAGAACATTAAGGATTGGAGGGTGGTTCAGCTAGAAGGTTGACAAATTGAAAATTGGAAAGGCAGAGGGACCGTGGTGATGGTCTCTTTGTTTAGCGCTTTTCCCATCCCTGGACCCCAGGCTAAGCTAAATTTCTGGCGACGTGTATGCTTGAACCTGGGCAGGCGAGGTTCTTGGAAAAAACATATAGCAGGGCTTCTGAGTCCGAGGAGTACCGCAGGACAGCAGTTCCTGAGCCCTCGACAAGAGGCTACCTGGGGAGGAGCGATTGATCTCAGCGCCCCGCGGCTAGGAAGGAAAGGCGTTGTTGACCTTTCGCGGAGCAAGTTAATAACTCAGTGGAGTTGATCAAGTGACGTTCTTTCTGAAAGGGGTCGTCTCCGGGGCCCCCTTTCTCTTCTCAGTTGGCATTTAGCAGGTAGAGGGGCAGGGCAAATTCTTCTCTCAACGTGAAGTCACAAAGAATTGATGAGTTTTAACAGCATGGATCCGGAGTCATAGATAACTCTAAATGCACACACACCCGGAGTTCACCCTCTCATTCACCTCCGCGGGAGAAGACAGCGACCTTAAAAATTGCCCCTAAAATCTTATCTCTGAAACTGACTAGGCATTTTCTCTACCCCTCCAGCTCCATCTAGACTCAGACTCTACTGGTAGATGTCACCAATCATTGCCCACCTCCCTTTAAAAACAGCCCCCATTCACGCACCTCTCAGCTACACTAAACCGCCCGACACGCTTTAACCACCAATTTTAATTCATACAAAATAACTGTATTTCGTGACATCACCTCCGCAGCCCACCCGAAAACTCCAGTCCAGGACACCTTATGAGGCTGTTTTTCAAGCGCTGAATTCTGAGACAAGAGGTTAGTGGAGGCATCTTGGTAGATTTCTGGGCTTCCAACTCCCTCCTCCTCCCGGCTGGTAATTTTCTGCTGCTCCTCCTCCTCCCCCTCTTGACCTCCTCCAAGGTACCTTCGCCTCCCCTCCCCCGCTCGTCCCCGGTAAACCTCCGGCGGGCGGTGGAAAGCAACCCTTTCGTGCTAAATTCAGAGCTGCCAGTTGGACACTACTGCAGATAGGGGAAGGGTGTCGCTCTGGGAGGGGGGGAGAATTATCAACTAGACTTGATCAATTTTATTAACTAGACTGATGTTAACTCGCTCCGGATTTCCAGAGAGCTCGGGCGGACCCGTGGGTGTTTTGCTGTATTCTGTGCGGATGTGGTAGATTTCAGCCCAACCGCCCAGGACCTGGGAGATCAAGCTGTTTCGCCTCTCCAGACTCCATCTGCCCCCGCGAGAACCCGATACATTTGATGAAGGCTTTGCCAAATGTAGGGCTCGGCACGTCCTTGGGCCAGAACCACTTAAGTCAGCACATTGCGCTCACTGGCTCCAATCTGGGCTCCTCACATAACTCTTTTAAAAAATCATGTGTTCCTAGTCATTTAGGAGTTAAAAGGGGGTGAGGAAGAAAAACAAAGGTTTCACTTGACACTGTCAGCCGATTTTGAGAAATCATAGTAAATACTTCCAGAAGCACAATTTTAAAGGGAGGGTGCAAATTTCTGTCCTCGCTTGGCCGAACTACTCCCTGCCATTAGCCGCGGAACCTCTCATGCTCCGGACGGACCTGGGGTTTGTGGCTTCACCGCTACCGGGAGCGTGGAATTCTATCTTGGCTGAGAACCGAGCAACAGACCGCACAAGAACGGTGCCTCGGGGCTGCCGTCTGCCAAGAAAGAATACTAGGTACGCTTGTGACAGAAACTACTACCTGAACTCAGAAATGCAGGCTTGGAGGCTCTGTGTGCAGAAAAAAATTCTTGCTAATCCACCCAAATTGTTTTAACTGGTTAATAAAACAATCGACAATCGACAAAACCACAATCCCAGCAGAAGGCCTAGGCAACAAAATGAAAGTCATAACTAAAGGTTTGTTGGTCTTAATAACTGCCTTTATTATCATTGCTTAGCATTTTATAAGTAAAAAAAAAAGGAAAGACATACCCAATGGCACATGGAGAGAGATCTCTTTTTTCCTCTGAAATTAGAGCACAAATTGTCTTGATTCCTCCTCAATAAGCCACCAACAACTGGAAGAGAGGCAAAGTGGCTCTAAACACCCACACCCTGTTCCCAATGGAATATAAATGGTTAATCGTGACTCCCTTTAAAGGCATATAATTTTATCTGACCCTTATACATGATTAAAAATACTGATGGTTTATACAGCCTTATTCTACATGATTAGAAAATACACAGAAAAAGTAAGAGAAGTGGGATACATACACACATACTCAATACCTATTTGAAGACATGAATAAAATACGTTCATGTTTCATTTTGACGCCCATATTATGCTTGTAGATATCAGAAATATAAATCCTGTTATATTTTTCCACCTAAATACTTTATTCACTGCAACTAGCAGCTGATTGTTATTCTACTCCTTATAACCTGATTTGGATGTAGGCTAAGCACACAGCATCACCTCCGTGGGATTACATTCCCAAACAAATTCACAGCTCAGGGAAGGCTGATCATAGCCTTCCTATCCTTCCCAATCTTGGTTAGATGGGAAAGAATAAAGCTTCCTCCCACTGTACATGATTTCCAAAGAGCCAACTTAAAATTCACTTATATCTGCCAGAGGTTGTTTGGGAATGAATAAATTCTAAATGTGTAATTTTACTTTTCAATTGCAATTAAGATATAGATATTTGAAATGTAGCTTGAGAACATGTTTGTTCACGAATCTGTATCTGGCATCAAGTTTGATGTGGAATGTTTAAATTTTAATTGAAGCAGAGAAAGCAAGCAACAGCACACAGAAACACAGGCCCATCAGGAGGCTTTGGTGCAACTGCAGTTTGGAAAGTGTGTACAAGTGCTCATCAGCGGATGTCACAGACTCAAGAGGAACTTATTAAAACTTCAGCATCAAAGAAGGTATATTCAAAGGGACTGTAAGGTATACTGGGGTGGCCTGGAGGTGAGGAGATTATACTTATTAACTACTCATACTTTTCTATTTGTCAACCAGGGATCCACACTACTGCTATTTTCAAGGATGTATTTTTGACCTCACAATATACAAAGGTCAAAATGAATCCACTTTTGAGAGGAGAGGGTCTAATCCACCCTTTGAACACAAGAGGTCGCTCCTGTGATCAAGTACTCTGGAAAACTATTGCTAATTGTAATTTTATGTATGTATTCTAGAAAAAAACATTAAAAAGTTTAGATATATTTGATGCACTAAATCCACATACAGCAATCAGCTAAAAAAAGGGAATTATCCAGGATCACATCAGAACTTTAAGGTGAACTGAAAAAATGCTTGCCATTCTAACTTTGATTTAAATGTAAAATGTACTGTCTATAGATGCAGACAATTCCAGAGCACATCCACCATGGAACAACATAATTACTGGGTTCCCTTCAATTTCTCCCTTTGATGGGGGTATCTTCTCCATGGATGTTGCTTCTATTAGTTTAGGAACTTACCAAGAAAATACTTGTTTACAATAATGATGCAGGCTGAAAAAAGGAAAACATGTTGTCTTCACCATTAGGGTGAAATTGCCCATTACTAAAGGTTTTCCCCCAGCCGCATGCCATCTTTTCTATTTGGAATTGTGATCATCGGCAATAATTCTTTGTAATAGCTTATTGGTTTAGAGAGTTAAAACACCACACTGTGTGGGGGTTGGGGACTGGTTTGAAGGAGGATGGGTAAGGAGGGTGCTTTGTGGATCTCAAATATGTCATCAGGCTTCTGGCAGCTTCTGATGTATAATTCCATTTTATAAACGTGGCATGATAGAATATGATTGGCTAAAATTCCTTTTATTTTCTGATATTATAGTGATATCTTTTATTTTATTTTTTTTTACTAGGGTCAACATGTTTATACAGAAAATAACGCTCATATACTGCGAAGAGTTGCTTCCAGTGTTGGGATTATCAGCATCAGCTTTGCAAAAGCAGTTTGACAAAAGGCTCTATGCAAATATAATACCAGAGATTAGAAACAGACCAGAAGAAAAAAAACAACAAAACAAACATAACTGGTAAACTTAACAACCTAAGTCTACCCGAGTTGTCGCTTTTACACACTCCGAAATAATTTATAGTAAAAATGGAAGGGAAGAAATCCAATTTGAAATCTTTGAAACAAAACAAAGCAAAGCAAAACGGGTTCTTAGTAAAGCCCCAGCTAGGTCAGGAGGAAACTGATGCATCTCGGATTCTCTTTGCGCTCTGGAGAAGCATAGCCATTCGAACCGAGCCACTGAGGCCGGCCGAGGGCTCACAGCTCTTATCAAGAGTTAGATCTGGCGAAAGATACAAAGAAAGGAGTTTTCTAACACACCGGGCTTCTCATGGGCAACTAGACACCAAAATTAAGCCTTCTAAGGCTTGTGTTTGTAGGCCTTTTTAGAGATAAAACTGGCAGTCCCATTAGATAAGGAATAGCTAAAGAAGCTTTCGGGGAAATGTGAGGGTTCTTCGTGGCCTTCCTGTGACTTTGGGAGACTGCTAAAGATGATGGGAACGTGTGAGAAATGACTGAGAAAGGTTACCGCGAGATGCAGCCAACATTCTTCTCTCTCCAGGTAGTTTCCCAAGAGAAAATTATTAGGTATCAACACACGGTGAAGTGAAATAAGCCTATCACTCTTCTGTAATAGACCCCTCCCTATTCGCGTCCTTAGACGAACGCATTTTTAAAAAAAATATCTAGAGAGACACGGAAACTTGTCCTCGTAATTATCAAAACACCACAGATAACGGCATATTTGCTTAAAAACAAAGGAGACAAGCAGAGCGAGGAATTAGACAGGATATAAACACCGTCCAAACTTTAGACTATTGGAAGATTGTTTCGCTCTTTGGCTTCGGGTTAGTGAGCTTCAATTCTAGAGTTAAACTGAAAAGCAGACCTCGCGGGTCGGAAAGAGACAGAGGCAGTCCGCGGAGTCAACTTCGTTTTTACCTGTGCGTTCCAACCTGATTGTCCGCTAGGGCAAGAAGTGCACCTTTCCTCCCACCTCACGTTTTTTGATATCTGAGGTCAGGGGAGACGGGGTAATAGGGTAGCAGTCAGCGAATCATTCCTCTGGGTCTACTCATCCCATTCCCGGTTCTTCTTCCCCTAGCACGCCCTGCACAGCCAGTTCTGGAGGGAACTCACCCTCTCGGGCAGCCAAGCCGGGCCAGGCCCGAGCCGTGCGCCACAGCGTGGGACCAAACCGAGCTAAGCGGCCCGTTCCAAGTTCCACCTTTTCCTAGAGCCCGGGAGGGACCTCATCAACGGGAAGACCTACCCACCAGCCACTCGCCACCGGCGGAAAAGTGAGCCCCGCGCGCAACGCGGCCAGGCGGACTGCGGGGACCCCAGGAGCGCAGGGCGGAGGAGCAGCGCGACAGGAGGCCAGGGCGCCGGCGGCGCGGCCGGGAAGGAGCGAGGGAGGGGGCAGGAGGAAGAGGAGGAGGAAGGGGAGAGGGAGGCCAAAGCCAGAGCAGCCCGGCAGCCCAAGCATCGGGAGAAAACGGCCTGATCTCGGAGCAAGTTGCCTCGGGAGCCTAATCCTCTCCCGCGGGCTCGCCGAGCGGTCAGTGGCGCGCGGCGGCGGCGAGGCTGAAATATGATAATCAGAACAGCTGCGCCGCGCGCCCTGTAGCCAATGGGCGCGGCGCTCGCCTGACGTCCCCGCGCGCTGCGTCAGACCAATGGCGATGGAGCTGAGTTGGAGCAGAGAAGTTTGAGTAAGAGATAAGGAAGAGAGGTGCCCGAGCCGTGCCGAGTCCGCCGCCGCCGCAGCGCCTCCGCTCAGCCAACTCCGCCGGCTTAAATTGGACTCCCAGATCCGCGAGGGCGCGGCGCAGCCGAGCAGCCGCTCGCTCAGCCTTGGCAACCCCAGAGGCCACATTTCCCACTTAGCCACAGCTCCAGCATCCTCTCTGTGGGCTGTTCACCAACTGTACAACCACCATTTCACTGTGGACATTACTCCCTCTTACAGATATGGGAGACATGGGAGATCCACCAAAAAGTAAGAGGCTATTTTACCTTCTGGGGCTCGGTGTACTGTTCTTGTGCGGGGGTCTCTCTCAGGCACGGGTGCCAAGGGCTCTTCGGAGTTGGAGTCATTGCCTGGAGAGAGAGAGAAAAGGTGGATTTTTCTTGTTGCCGCCACGCCTGCATGCTTGCTGTCGGTTCTGATCTTCGGGAAACTGATCGTACCTTGTGTTTGAGTTCGCCTGTGTGCCCTCCAAAACCCTAGCTTTCTGGTGCTAAGCGGTGATTTCCTCCTCGGGAATCCTGAGCTCTCTCTCCGAGAAGGTTATTATGTTGCAAAGGTCTGCCTGCACATTCAATACCCGGAGATGTGAATTAGCATTAGACTTGCAAAAGAGTGACAACTGTATTGATGTCTGCTCTTGCTAACAATATCCAGTCCTATCTGCTATTTAAGAGCGTGCTTCATGGAAAATATAGACATCCCTGCGTTCACTTAACGCTTCTAGTCAAAACCTTTTCTTTGACTTGACTTATCCATAATCTTTCCCAATGATTACGGCAAAGAGAAAGGAGGAGGGGGGAAAGAAACACAAAATGAGCGGGTTTGATTGCGTGCTAGGCGTACAAATGTAGAGTGTTCAAATCTGCATTTTACATATATTCCACCTCCTTTTAAAAAGCGAGTCAAGGTTTTGATGGCACACTTCAATTATCATCCCAAAGTGCAATACTAAAAAAAGAGAGAGAGAGAGAGCGAAAGAAAAGGGGGAAAAACCCCTCCTAGAGTACGCCCTATAAGAGAACGACACTAAAAGTGTGTTTATCTCTGTAGGAAGTAAACGGTTAGTCAATCATGTATTTATTTTCATTTCAGAAAAACGTCTGATTTCCCTATGTGTTGGTTGCGGCAATCAAATTCACGATCAGTATATTCTAAGGGTTTCTCCGGATTTGGAATGGCATGCGGCATGTTTGAAATGTGCGGAGTGTAATCAGTATTTGGATGAGAGCTGTACATGCTTTGTTAGGGATGGGAAAACCTACTGTAAAAGAGATTATATCAGGTATGCCATTTATACTTCTTCTCTAATTTCGTGAGATTTCCCTGTCTCTCCCCACTTCTTACTTATTGTTTGGTATGGCTTTGTCTTTCTGCGAAGTTTGCCTTGGTGGAGTTCAGCGAGTAAAAGTTACCCTGTAAGTGTGTTACAAAAATTCAGCTATGTTGTTCATGTCACGTTTTAGGGATAAAAAAATAAACCCAGTACACTGATTTTCATAAATTGTGTGGTATTGAGGCTTATTTAACTATTAGAATTTATGATACATTATTTTCCTTTCACCCCACTCCTTAAAAAAACAAAACAAAAAAAAAATCAAGACAAATAAGTTTGAGTTGTTAAACTTTAAAAGGAGGTTGAGTTTCACTGTATAGTGCAGTGTTATATTTATTTATTTTAGTCATTTTTTATTTGCAACTTACAAATTCTTTGGCGGTATCAATGCAATAGGTGAAATAAAAGTTTGACTTAAGCATGTTTAGAGATGCATTTTGAAAAAGCAACTAGAGACGATGGTTGTTTTACTTTTAGGGTGAGAGCTCCTTCCTGGAAAATTTCAAAACCAACCTAAATATTCCTTGCAGAAAGGCCAGAAATTTAATCTTTTTAAATATTAACCCTTTGGTGACATCTAACTATCTTTTCTTTCTTATCTTATCTGAGCTGATGAATTAGACAGAGCAGATCAAATTGCCCATCATCTGCCTACGAACAATTGGTATATTTAGATAATTGAACAGCTTCCTTTCTCACATTAAAATCTGGTAACTGATAAAATGAGCGAATTACCCACAGTGACAAGACTAAAACCACATAGGAACTTTCTGAGTTTGGTTTTGTTGTTTGGAGGGTTTTATCTCCAATTTACTCTTCATCAGGCTTTACTAATCTCAAGTTTTCTCTACCCTGTGTATATGTCAGAAACTTTGTTTTCTGCCTTAGGAAGCCAGTAGAATTTCTAAAGAAAATTTTATTAGCTTTAATAACAAACAGAAGACACATCACTTTCAATAGTATGTTAAAAAATAACAAAATATTACTTCTTAAAATTTTTTCTGTGGCTACTAACAAGTAATTAGTTCTCTTTTGATTTCTGGAGCTTGAGATAATCTTTTGATTATCTTAAAATTTCTGGAGCTTGAGAACTTTTACTGAAGTTTAGTTTGGATTTAATATGCAGTCATAATTTTTTCGGCTCACTTAGTAGCCAGCATTTTTTTTTCTTAAATCATGAATCGGAGAGTATAATCTTGATAGATAAAATTGAACAGTAGGGAGGTTAATACTTTGGGAGGGGGAGCAGGAGGAAGTAAGGGAAGTGGGGTACAGGAAAGGGGAGGGATTTTCTAAATTGTTTGGTCACAGGAAAAGTAAAGTCTTCACCCTATGAAATGGAAGATCTCACACTGAGTAGGCGGAGGGAGGAAAACTTTTGAATCTACCTTCTAACCTCTGACAAATGAGCTGTTTTCATTGTTTACTTGATTGGTGTGTGAACTCAAGATTCTAGAGAGGGAGAGCCCACTTGGCACCTCTGGGAGTATCTTTACTCCTATGGAGATAGTGTTTTGCTCAATTGCACACAGAACTGCATGTGCCTAATTCTGGATACATCCATTTGTAGAAGGATCTAATCACTTTTACCTTCTTTCTGTTCTCTCTCAATTCCGTGTGTGTGTGTCCGTCCTTTGAAATCCTGCAGTTGTAAAAGCAGAACAGAGTGACCATATAGATTTCCAAATCTTCCCTTGGGGGAGCAGGATGCCTCTGCCTTTATGTGGATCTTTTCATCTTTTCATCTCTCTCATTCTGTTCGTAGGAATGGCCCAGTTTCTGTTATTATTGAAATATGGAGAGGGGGACAGAGCATTGCATCTTAGATGGAACCTATAAGGATTGTCTCTTAGTAAAGAAAGGCCAGCAGGGAGAAGATCTTAGAAGTGGGTCTTTTCATTTTTCAGGCTGGTCATGGCTCTCAAACAAATTGAAATAGAGGTAGGTGCTTCTACACTTGAAAAAGATTGAGGATGCAGATGCAGGTTTTCAAAATAATAAAAGGAAGAATGGTGAGGAAACTTTCTGTTAACATTGTTGCCTGAGGAAAATCTTTAGTTGGAGAAAGACTAAAAGGTACTTGTGCAGAAGGGAGATCTGGAAACTCTCAGAGGTTTCATTTTGTTATTTTGCTTGTGTATTTGTATGTGTTTGCAAAACGAGTGGAGTGACAATCCCATTCCCCTACCTCTATTTTTTTCTTGAAAGGAGGACTTTTTGTTACAGTTTCAGAGCTAATTCTAGCAGCAGAAATTGGGGCATATAGGGAGGTGAAAATTTGCGGCTGGTGGCTACTGGAGTCCTTCTGGACTCCTTCCTGCTAAGATCTGCAAGGTCAACCCCGGGACTGGTCGCTAGAGCAGCGGCCCAGGTTTGGAATGCATCAATACTTTTTTTTTTGTATAGGTTGAGTGTTCTGAAACAGGAAAAGAAAAGGTAGTAAAAGAAAGGGAGAGGTGGAGGGTGGAGAGAGAGGGAGGAAGAAAGATACAGGGAGGTTTCATTTCTATCCTCCGGTCTCCAGCTTTGTTTGGAAATGCTGATTTCTCAGGGAGTCGCCGCTGGCGATCTCGGGCCAGGAAAGTGCTCGCCTGAAGTGACCCCTCTTCCTGTGCTTCTCTCCCCGCTCTGGGCCCGGCCCCCGCGCAGGTTGTACGGGATCAAATGCGCCAAGTGCAGCATCGGCTTCAGCAAGAACGACTTCGTGATGCGTGCCCGCTCCAAGGTGTACCACATCGAGTGTTTCCGATGTGTGGCCTGCAGCCGCCAGCTCATCCCTGGGGACGAGTTCGCGCTGCGGGAGGACGGGCTTTTCTGCCGAGCAGACCACGACGTGGTGGAGAGGGCCAGCCTCGGCGCCGGCGACCCGCTTAGTCCGCTGCATCCGGCGCGGCCCCTGCAAATGGCAGGTACTCTTCTGCCGGGCTCGGGTAGGCAGGCGCCAGACTAAGCCAGCGGCGCCCCTGCCAGTGCACCGGCGGCCACAGCCACCATGGTAGCCACAGGGCGGTTGTGGCAGCAGCCTGCAGTTAAGTGAAGTGTTCCATGTGCAGTATGCTCTGTGCTATGCTCTTTTCCAGCAAAGTTCAATGCACTCACTGTCTCCCTGGGCTTCCCGAGTCCACCTACACGTTTGTGTGTCCATATATGGGACACATGAATATACACCACTTGTGTACACATGTATACACACACTCCAACAGTACTTCCAGTTCACTTTGGCCCTAAACCACAAGTTTAAGCTCCCGGCCAGGTATTCACCTTGCTGCTGCCTAATTAAAGGGGTGGAGTCCTGGGTCCCTGGAGCTTCTTCCTTTGACTCAATGAAAGAAGCTTAGGTGGCCTTAAATCATTTAGTCTCCCAAATCCTTTTTCCTTGTGAATTGCACCACACTCCAAAATATTTTTAAATTAATTTTTACTTTTTTGGGAGAGAAAGGACCTGAACGGATACAGTCTTAATAACTGCAGGCCATTGCACAGAGCTGTAATTTAAAACTGTCAACAAGGTAATCTGCAGTAATAGCCTTTTAAAGGGAGCCTGCCTCTTTAAACCATTCATTCTATGTGACTTGGTGAGAATTTCATCTTCAGGCCTGTCTTTGTAGCTCTAAATTGACCCCATAGGTGTTGACCTCACCCTAGGGGGTCGTGGAAGGTGCTGGTTTTGTACCATTCAGAGCAGAGGGCCTACTCTCCAGGAAGGGGAGTGGAAACAGCAAGGTTGACCAGGACCAAAGCTGTAGCTAAGAAGGCAGGCAATGTTTCCAAACCTGCCTTCCTGTCAGGAATA